CTTATCCAACTTAAACTGTTGCTCCGAGTCCTATCATGCTAGGATATTATAAGAACTTTATCTATATCACCTTTATTGATTCCTTTCACCCACTTAAATACTTCTATCATATCTCCCCGCACTCTTCTAGGGAATGCAAGTTTAGTTTCTTTAACCTATCTTGATATGGAAGGTTTCTAAGTCCCGGAATCATTTTCGTCATTCTTCGCTGCAGCATATAGTGTGTCAGGTATGGTCAAGGGTGTGGCCGCTCTCTTCCAGTGTGGTGTGTCAGGTATGGTCAGGTAGATCATTAGTGTGGCGCCTTTCCAGTGTGGTGTGTCAGGTATGGTCAGGTAGTATCATTAAGGGTGTGGTCATTCTCTCCAGTGTGGTGTGTCAGGTATGGTCAGGTAGTATCATTAAGGGTGTGGTCACTCTCCTTCTCTTGTGTGAGAGGTCAGGCGCCGCCATACTACTGATAATTATACTGGTGATGTAATGTTTGAGTGTGTGTGTGTGTGTGTGTGTGTGTGTGTGTGTGTGTGTGTGTGTGTGTGTGTGTGTGTGTGTGTGTGGTGTGTGTGTGTGTGTGTGTGTGTGTGTGTGTGTGTGTGTGTGTGTGTGTGTGTGTGTGTGTGTGTGTGTGTGTGTGGGTGTTAGACAGATATGTGTGGGGGCATTGTCTTTGTGTGTTTGTGTGTGTGTGTGTGTGTGTGTATCTATCCGCACACATACGTCCATGAGACAGAGGAGGTGTACACAGATCGCGGTGAGTCTGTACTGTGAATGTTGAACAGGATGACGTGTCCTCTTGCAAGACCTGACTCTAAATAAACATTACACTGAAGCCCGAGGAGACCAGAGGAGGAGACCAGACGAGGAGATCAGAGGAGGGGGAGATCAGAAGAGGGAGGAGATCAGAGAGGGAGATAGACCAGATGGTGAGTAGTGAGATAAGGAGGTGATGGGTGTTTGAGGGAGAGGGAGGGGAGTGGAGTGTGTGGGGGGAGGGAGGGGGTAGTGGGTGTGTGGGGGGGAGGGTGATGAGTGTGTGGGGGGGTAGGGGTGATGAGTGTGTTTAAGGAAGGGAGGGATGATGGAGTGTGTGAGTTACAGAGGGAGGGGGAGGGAGGGGGGAGGAAGGAGAGAGGGGGGAAGGAAGGAGGGAGAGGAGGAAGGAAGGAGGGATGGATCGACAAGGAAATATCTAGATAATAGAAAGAGAGGAGGAAGAGAGAGAGGAGGAGGGAGATGTTATACAGAAGAAGAACACAGAGAGAGAAGGGGAAGAACAAAGAGGTAGAGAAAGACGTAGACAAGAACAAAGAAGAACAAAACAAAAACATCACCTGAAGAACTAATTTATTCCGTAATAACTCACCTCCATCACAGTAATAACAACAACAATAACAGTGATCATAACACCGTCTAGGAGAAAGAACAGGTGAATTAATCTCCTGTTTTTCCGTGCCCTCCCATTAGTGAATCCTTGTGACATTTACTACAGGGCGTCTCAGAAAAATATATACAAGTTATATTATACATTATCAGGGTGAGACACTCTTTACTTGGGTAGATGTAGAGAGAGAACAGGTAATGGGTAATGGTAGAACAGGTAATGGGTAATGGTAGAACAGGTAATGGGTAATGGTAGAACAGGTAATGGGTAAAGGTAGAACAGGTAATGGGTAAAGGTAGAACAGGTTGATGGTTGGGACAGTTATGGATTGACGGTGAACAGGTAATGGGCAGGGGTGGAACAGGTGATGGGTAATGGTAGGGACAGGTGATGGGTTGATGGTGGGACAGGTTATGGGTAATGGTAGGACAGTGGGTGGGGTGGAACAGGTGATGGGTGACGGTGGGGACAGGTGATGGGCAGGGTGGAGCCGGTTGGTTATGGTTGGGACAGTTATGGTTGATGGTGGGACTGTGTGGTTGGGGATGGGACAGTTGATGGGTTGGTGGGGACAGGTGATGGGTGGTGGTGGGGACAGGTTGGATATGGTGGGACAGGTTGATGGATGGTGGGACAGGTAATGGGTAAGGGTTGGGACATGTGATGGTTAAAGGTAGAGACATGTGATGGGTAAGGATGGGACAGATGATGGGTAATGGTAGAACAGGTTATGGGTAATGGTAGGACAGGTAATGGGTGATGGTGGGACAGGTTGATGGTTGATGGTGGGACAGATTGATGGGTAAGGGTTGGGACATGTGATGGGTGAAGATAGAACAGGTAATGGATGGGTGGGACAGGTAATGGGTGGTGAGAACAGGTAATGGGTAATGGTGGGACAGGTAATGGGTGAGGTAGAACAGGTAATGGGTAAGGGTAGAACAGGTAATGGGTAAAGGTAGAACAGTTGGTTGGGGTTGGAACAGGTATGGATTGTGGGACAGGTATGGGTAAAGGTAGAACAGGTAATGGGTTAAGGTGGAACTAGTTGATGGGTATGGGTAGAACAGGTAATGGGTAATGGTAGAACAGGTAATGGTTAAAGTGTGTCTGATAAACTAAAGACACACACATACATACATACACTCATATACATGTCGACCTTGGTAGGTACACACAACAGAGGTACGCATGTGTGTGTGTGTGTGTTTACAGTAGACGTAGATGATCAAGTCGCCCCTCCTCCTCTTTAAGACACGCCCACCTCCTCACCTCCTGCCGTCATTACGTTACACCACAAGAACACGAGACGGGCACACAACCTCTGCCTGGCTTCCTTCATTGTCGACTCTAGGGGAACGTGTTGTGTTGTGTTGTGTTGTGTTGTGTTGTGTTGTATTGTATTGCTCTGTGTTGTGTTTGCGTTGTGTTGTGTTGTGTTGTGTAGTGTTGTGTTGTGTTGTGTTGCGTTGTGTTGTATTGTATTGCTCTGAGTTGTGTTGTGTTGTGTTGTGTTGTGTTGTTAATTATATATGTTGTTGACGATGAGTTAGGATAGTCATTATGTGTCTTAAATATTTAATTAGTTGTGGTTTAGTTATTAATAGTGAATAGGTGCTGGCTAGTGACGTTCCTATTTTTAATAAGGGCTAGTGGTGTTGCTATTTGTGTTAGTGGTTAGTGGTGTTGCTATTTGTGTTAGTGGTTAGTGGTGTTGCTATTGTGTTTGTGGTTAGTGGTGTTGCTATTTGTGTTAGTGGTTAGTGGTGTTGCTATTTGTGTTAGTGGTGTTATTTGTGTTGTGGTTAGTGGTGTTGGTATTTGTGTTAGTGGTTAGTGGTGTTGCTATTGTGTTGTGGTTAGTGTTCTATTTGTGTTAGTGGTGTTGCTATTTGTAGTGGTGTTGCTATTTGTGTTAGTGGTTAGTGGTGTTGCTATTTGTGTTAGTGGTTAGTGGTGTTGCTATTTTATTAGGGGTTAGTGGTGCTTATACATACGCAGGGGTTATTGGCATTGCTATTTATACTAACAACTAGTAGTACTCATACACACACAGGTTATGAAACTACATACATACGGTACACCCAGAGTTAAATAGCTCTGTACTACATTAAACCACATATCAAAATAACCTATCTAACCTAACCTCTCTCACACTCTAACTTCAAACACACCTACGAAGCAACACGTACTACACTTCCTCGTTAACTAAATACGTGTCGTGCATTGGAACATAACACCACACACACACACACACACACACACAGACACATGAGAACCTTCCACCCATCGTGTATTATAATAGGTAAGTGTGAAATAGGCATGAAATAATAGGGTAATTTCTCGATTTTCCTTTTCAATCTGTTGTATTTTATCCCTATGACAATAGGTGTTGGTTACGTGGATTGTAAGTTGATTAAAGTGTAATGGGTAAGGTGGAACAGGTAATGGGTAAGGTGGAACAGGTAATGGGTAAGGTGGAACAGGTAATGGGTAAGGTGGAACAGGTAATGGGTAAGGTAGAACAGGTAATGGGTAGGTGGAACAGGTAATGGTAAGGTGGAACAGGTAATGGGTAAGTGGAACAGGTAATGGGTAAGGTAAAGGTAATGGGTAGGTGGAACAGGTAATGGGTAGGTGGAACAGGTAATGGGTAAGGTGGAACAGGTAATGGGTAAGGTGGAACAGGTAATGGGTAAGGTGGAACAGGTAATGGTAGGTGGAACAGGTAATGGGTAAGGTGGAACAGGTAATGGGTAAGGTAGAACAGGTAATGGGTAAGGTGGAACAGGTAATGGGTAAGGTGGAACAGGTAATGGGTAAGGTGGAACAGGTAATGGGTAAGGTGGAACAGGTAATGGGTAAGGTAGAACAGGTAATGGGTAAAGTGGAACAGGTAATGGGTAAGGTGGAACAGGTAATGGGTAAAGTGGAACAGGTAATGGGTAGGTGGAACAGGTAATGGGTAGATGGAACAGGTAATGGGTAGATGGAACAGGTAATGGGTAATGGAACAGGTAATGGGTAAAGTGGAACAGGTAATGGTAAGGTGGAACAGGTAATGGGTAAGTGGAACAGGTATGGGTAAGGTGGAACAGGTAATGGGCAAGGTGGAACAGGTAATGGGTAAGTGGAACAGGTAATGGGTAAGGTGGAACAGGTAATGGGTAAGGTAGAACAGGTAATGGGTAAGGAATAAACAGGTATTTATGATGTTATTTCCAGGTACTGTATATCGGGACCCTAACCCTACCTGACCTGAGTACCTGGGAGATTTGGGAAACACTGACCTCCCTTCCGCATGTTTACGTTTTTCATGACCGCTTCCTCTCTCCGTTGGTTTGTCCATAATAGTTTATAATCGTATGGTAATGAGTGTGTTTTGTTTGTAAATAATAGGTTAATTATTTTGGGAATGGGTGAGTGTTTACAAATGTTGATAATATCGTACTTAGTTATAACGTATTTACTATCATGGTACGTTGTTAAGTAATTACCTACTTAAAACAACAATAATTATCATACAAATTAAAAGGATTACCATACGAATATTACCATACGAAGATTACCATACGAATATTCCACTTATAATTACAAAAAAAAAAACACTTGTACTTACCAAAAGAAGAGTCCTCATGTTGTTTCGTCTGGACAGTAAACACAAGCGGTTCTAGCAAGCCTTGGGGAACAACACCACGTCACAACACAGTCTACCCGGGCGTGTGGGGACCCGAGGTGACACTAACCCTGTCTCTCGCTCCAGCCACTTATCACTATGGATATCCTGTGCTGCTGTCGTCATCGGCTTACTCAGGATTCAACGGATGATTTTAAATATTTTTTCATCACTTTATCTTTAAAAGTTTTAATGATATAACAACACTTTAATTATTGTTCTTTTGTTGGATAATTCACTCTTTGATAGCCAAGATCACCGTGTTCGTCTTGTAGTTCTGAAGGAAGAAAATACAGTGTTAATATCTCTATATAACACAGTACTAAGTGACTATAATCCTGTATATCTAAATATTATAAGTATTTTTTTTACTTATTTTTATTATTGTTATTGTAGGACTCTTATATTGTCATTTTTTGGGTGAATGAGTAAAGTAGGTGTTGATTTGCATACTGACACCCGTATTGTTTGATTAGTATGAGGGCCTGAGGGTGTTAGCGATAAGGGGTGGGTATTAGGTACAGGTGTGAGTGCGTTGCGTAACATCATCATGCACCATAGGAGGGGAGAGGGAGGTGGGGAGAGAGTGAGGGAGAGGGAGGTAGAGGGAGAGGTGAGGAGGGAGGTAGAGGGAGAGAGGTGGGGGAGAGGAGTGAGGGAGGGGAGGTAGAGGGAGAGGGGTGAGAGGAGAGGGAGGTGGGGGAGAGGGAGTGAGGGAGGAGTGGGTGGGGGAGAGGTGAGGGAGGTGGGGGGGGGGTGAGGGACAAACAGGTAAAGCACACACAAGAACTCGTAACTTTATACTTAAAACAAAAGACAAACAAACACGAATGACCAAACAAAAAACAAATAATAAAAACAGAGTAAAACAGAAGTGGGTGGCCAAAACTGACTGGACATCCTGGTTGTGAGGACCGACTATAGTAGTGTGTCTCTCTCCTGTCATGTCGTAGGGGCAACTGGTGTAAGGATTGTAGAGTCTGCCTTTATATATGGTGATGGCAGATCTGATAGTGTGGATGTGATAGTCTGGATGTGATAGTGTGGATGTGATAGTGTGGATAAGAGTGAACCAGTAGAGTGACCTGATATGGATAACTCTCTCTCTCTCTCTCTCTCTCTCTCTCTCTCTCTTCTTTCTCTTCTCTCTTTTTCTCTTCTCACACACACACACACACACACACACACACACACACACACACACACACACACACACACACACACACACACACACACACACATATTATACATACAGTGTGTTGTCGTGTCTTTACTGCTCACCACACAAGGCTCAGTTCGTTGTCCACTGCCCAAAACAACACCCTTCCTCCTCCTCCTCCTCCCTGTGTCAACCCACGCTTGGTGTCTTACATATTGGCTTAGTTATTACCACATAGTTTTCGTTAATCTTTTTCGCATGGTGTTTGTGTGTCTGGGACGGGGCGGGGCGGGGGGCAGGCGGAGCGGGGCGGGGCGAGGCAAAACGGGGTGAAGCTGGGTAGGGTGGGAAGTGGGATAAAGAATCCACATACATATATACACATATACTCACACACAAACACCTAGGAAATGTAAATTACTTAATTTTTTAAATATGTTTTGTAGTTATGAATGGTACGAGGTCTTATGGCGTCGACCTGTTGTTATTACGAGGTGTGATGGCGTGCATAGTATAGTGAACACGTGTAGAGTATAGTGAACACGTGTGAAGTATAGTGAACACGTGTAGAGTATAGTGAACACGTGTATACAGTATAGTGAACACGTGTATGGTATAGTGAACACGTGTAGAGTATAGTGAACACGTGTAGAGTATAGTGAACACGTGTATACAATGAACGTGTGAAGTATAGTGAACACGTGTAGAGTATAGTGAACACGTGTAGAGTATAGTGAACACGTGTAGAGTATAGTGAACACGTGTAGAGAGTATGTGAACACGTGTATGAGTATAGTGAACACGTGTAGGTATAGTGAACACGTGTAATGTATGAACACGTGTGAAGTATAGTGAACACGTGTATACGGTATAGTGAACACGTGTAGGTATAGTGAACACGTGTATACAGTATAGTGAACACGTGTAGGTATAGTGAACACGTGTATGAGTATGTGAACACGTGTAAAGTATAGTGAACACGTGTATGAGTATAGTGAACACGTGTAGAGAGGGACGAGGCTGCGTGTTGGTGTTATAGCTGTAGTGTAGATGATCCAGGAAGTCCTTGTTGGAGACAAAACACCAAAGACCTTGCCTCCTACCCTCCACGCCCTCCTTGTCTCCTTCCTCCACGCCTCCTGCCTGTCTCTCCTCACTCCCTCCTGCCTGTCTCTCCTTCCTCCACGCCGCCCTCCTGCCTGTCTCTCCTTCCCTCCACGCCTCCACTCCTTCCTGTCTCTCATGCCTCCACGCCTTCATGCCATCCCTCCCTGTCTCTCCTTCCCTCCCACGCCTTCATGCCATCCTCCCTGTGTCTCATGCCCTCCCTCCCACGCCCTCCCTGCCTGTCTCTCCTTCCCTCCCATGCCATCCCTCCCTGTCTCTCATGCCCTCCCACGTCTCCCTCCCTGCCTGTCTCCTTCCCTCCCACGCCTTCAGCCTCCTCCCTCTGTCTCATGCCCTCCACGCCTTCATGCCATCCCCTCTTCCTCATGCCCTCCCCTCCTCCCTGTCTCTCCCCTCCCACATGCTCCTGCCTGCTTCTCCTTCCCAGGCCTCCACGCCTCCCTCCCTGCCTCCCACGCCTCCACGCCCTCCCTGTGCCTGCTTCTCCCATGCCAGTCTCTCCCACGCCTGCTGTTACTGCTGTTAAGACCTCGCCTGCTGTGTGCGTCATTATTCATGTTATTACGTACACACACACACACACACACACACACACACCGGTAATAAAACACGCCTAATGGTGTTAAAACTAGCCATTAGAACCTTCAGTGTGACGCAATCTGGTCTCCATCTTGTTTACCTGATGATTTACCTGGACAAAAACCTTAATTGTTAATCGCTATAAGGCTGCCAGGTGAATGATTCTTCGTTCTTGAGTTAAAATGTTAAAATAAAAGTCAGACTAAATAAAAAAAATCAGTTTAGACAAGAAGAGAAGGAGAAGAGAGAGTCTGTGACTAAGAAGAGAGTCTGTGAGTAGAAAAGAAAGAGAGAGAGAGAGTCTGTGAGTAAGAAAGAGAATCTGTGATGAAAGAAAGAAAGAAAGAAAGAGAGTCTGTGAGAGAGAGAGAGAGAGAGAGTCTGTGAGTAAGAAGAAAGAAAGAAAGAGAGAGAGTCTGTGAGTGAAAAGAGAGAGAGAGAAGAGAGAAAAGAGAGTCTGTGAGTAGAAAAAGAAGAGGAGTCTGTGAGTAAGAAAAGAAGGTGAGAGTCTGTGGTAAGAAAGAAAGAGGGATTTTTGTTGCAGATCTTTTTCATCTGGTTTTTGACCGTCCCGTCCCTCCTCTCCCTACCTCTCTCTCCCCCATTTTACCCTAGTCACCAAGAAGAAAAAGTAGATAAAAATCCCCATCACCCAAAGTCATTATCCCTCCCCTCTCCCCTGCAACCATCCAACCTCCTTCCCCACCCCAAACAAGTCTCTCACTATTTCTTCTCCCCTCTTTTTCCACCTTTCGCTCCCTCTCTCACCTCAACATCCACCCTCAAGCACTCCCCCCCTCCTCTCCTCCATCACCTCCCTCCCATCACCTCCTCTCCTCCCATTCCCTCTTCTCCCATCCCATCACCTCCCCTCCCTCAGCCTCCCCTCTTCCTTACCTCAGGCTCCCCTCCCTATCCATCCCTTCTTCTCCCCTCCTTCCCTTAGCTAAAACTCCTTCGTCCTCTCCCCTCTCCCCCTCCCTCATCAAAGCACTCCTCCCCCCGCCCCAGGCACCTACACCCTGACCTTGGCCTTGTGTCGAGCCAACTTGTTCTGGTCTACGTCGTCGGCATCACAATGAGTCAGGCTGTACACCTTCTCTGTGCTTACTTATTAATGTAAAACCACGCCTATGGGGGCATCACGTGCGTTGATTGGTCCGCGTGTGGGTTCCTTTAGTTCAACCAATATCACTGAAATAGGTTAGATTTTGGTTAGATTTGGGTATGTGTGGGTTAAACCATCGTCTTCAGATAGTTAAACCATCGTCCTTAAGAGTTAAACCATCGTCCTTAAGAGTTAAACCATCGTCCTTCAAGGGTTAATTCAACAATCCCAGCAGGAGGAGGAGGAGGAGGAGGAGAAGAAGAAGAAGAAGAAGAAGAAGAAGAAGAAGAAGAAGAAGAAGAAGAAGAAGAAGAAGAAGAAGAAGAAGAAGAAGAAGAAGAAGAAGAAGAAGAAGAACCAAGATCACGTAGGATGACCCTGAGTTAAGGTGTTGTGTTAACATTGGTGAGCCGCCCGGGTGACGTATGGCTGACACCTCGGTCCTGAGAGAGAAATATGGTAGTCTGGTCATGGTGGTCCCTCTACTGTATGGTTCTTGACCCCTACCATGGTCCATTCACGGCTTATGGTAGGGGGGAGGGTGGGAGGGGGTTATGGTAGGGGAAGAGGTGTCAGGGAGGTGTCAGGGTAATATATCAGGGAGGTGTCAGGGTAATGTATCAGGGAGGTGTCAGGGAGTATCAGGGGGGGGTGTTAGGGTAGGGGAGAGGTGTCAGGGAGTATTAGGGGGTGTTAGGGAGTGGGGGGTGTTAGGGTAGAGGAAGAGGTGTCAGGAGTAATGTCAGGGAGGTGTCAGGGAGTATCAGGGGGTATTAGGGTAGGGGAGAGGTGTCAGGGAGTATCAGGGGGGTGTCAGGGAGTATCAGGGTGGAATATTACGGATGTGTGTTGAGATGTGGTCACACTTTTCTTTTGTTATTTTCTTTAGTGTAGAGGATCGCCACTACGGGCAGAAAGCGTAAGTGATCGCCACTACGGGCAAAAGACGTGTGAATGTCTGTCTGGCGTCTTGGTTTATGTAGCTTATGGCTCCTGACTATAACGTGGTCAAGGGGATTAGGGACACACACACACACACACACACACACACACACACACACACACACACACATACACACACACACACCAAAAACCTGTTTACACATCCAAATAATAATATACTTACAATCAACATATAACATTACACATGCAGTCATACAACATACCACATACAACCTCATACCTCATACAACATACACCCAAGACCTGTTACCATCATACAACCTCATACTACGACACGTTACACAACTCAATGTTACCAATGTTAGAAAATACACCTGTTGATAGATTACAAGGTAGCATT